ATTGCTTACTATATATATATATATATATATATATATTAGAACCAAATATCATATATCAAATTATTAAGGAAAAAGCATTTATACTCCCTCTAATTTATTCAAAGCATCCATGCCACTAAAAAAGAGAGATTTTGGACACTATCTCATACTTTAAACACCATCATGTAAGAATGGGGAAAAGCCAAACCTTCAGCTTATTTACTTCATTAACAGTAACAATTAAGATTTAATAGTTTCTATAACTAATTATCTACATATAATGGTACAATATATTTTAAATTTTTAGCAATTTTGTGTAACACTCAAATGTTGCCTATTTTAACAACAACAAGCCTTTATCCCGCCAAGTGGGGAAATGTTGCCTATTTAAAAAAATTAATACATTCATATATCATTTAATCCCAGGTTTGACTAGATCTGTGCTTGATTTTGACCAATATGCTAAACTTTCACTCAGGTGAGTCCTTAGGTCTAGGCTAGCTACTTAGAGCCTAGAGAACCTATATTCAAGGTTGGTTGAACCTAGAGTGCTCTAGATTAGGAGAATTTTAACTAAATGGGCCAATTTGACCCATTTTAGGTTTAGCAAAGCTAAGGTTTGACAAGGAGTTCTAGATGAGGTCCCTAGTCCTTCGTTTAGATGTACACAATTCCTCTGAGGTTCTAGAAAAGCGTGGATCTTCCATTTGAATCAAACTTAATCCTAGGAATTGGGTTAGGTTGATCACTAAATGGACTAAGTGACTTAGTTTGACAAGATTGATCCAGTAGATCAGGGTTGTCTCTTTGGATTCTAGACTACATCTAAACATAGCATAAGGGTTATATGGTCTTTGTGAGTCAGTCTTAGGTCAGCTTAATGAAGAGATCTAGGCTGGGATGACCAATAGATGGATTTGAGTCCTTCGTTAGCTAGGCAATTAACTCATTGCATCAAGCTGAGCCATTATGTCCATGGTTAGACATGCTTGAGACCATAAAATTCCAATTGATATGTCTGAGCTACTTGGGCAGTCATAGGTTAGCTCTAAATTTGGAAAATCAACTAGATGCGACTAAAATTGAATCAAGTGCTACATGAACTAAAATAGGTCTCAATTGGGTTTCACTGTATTAGGGTAAATGATCCTAGTCAGAATAAAATCTATGGATTGGAACTTTGAGGCTTTTACCATTTTCAATTTAATTCAGAAGAAGATGTGTATAGTTTAGATCGGAATACAGATTAAGATACTTAAGAGCTTAAAACCATGAAAATTTACGAAATAAGTATCATGAAAAAATCATGGGATTCATTTGGGACTGAAATCATGACGAATCTTGAGTATTAAAAAAATAAAGATTTATGCCATCACTTTTAACATTAAGCATGATTTGAATGTCTTCTTCGATTGTGTATTAGAACTTAGAACTTAAGATTCTCTTTGATTGGCATATTGTGAGTAACTAAGGGTGCGGTACATGACAAAGGTTAAATGCTTAGGTATTTGCTAAGGGATTTTGATATAGATGCCAATGAGACATAAATTATTTGTTAAACATCTTATTAGAATTTGGGCTGATATGGAAGTTAGATTAAGCTGAAATGTCTAAAATCTAAGAGAAGTATACCAATTAACATAGTTGAATGGCTGAAAACATGAGCGGACAATCAAAATATTAATGAAAGCTTAAATCATTTTGAAGAAACAAATGATGTGGATTTGTTTCTAGGTTAGTGGATGATCTTCATCCTAATTAAGACAGGTACAGCTATTTGAACCAAGGAAGATATATGAAGCATAGCATATACACTTAGAAGCGGAGAGAAGACTAATTCTTTCCTCTAAAAGCAATATCAATCAAGTAAGATACATCCCCTTTTATATTGTATAGAAATATAACATTAAAATTGAAAATAAAATCATTTAAAGTGACCAAAGAAAATTTTTATTTATTGATAAGAATTAAGTATACTTAATGAAATATATAAATGCAATTACAATTAAACAGCATTAATTTTTCTTTATTGATCTTTAAGGTATTTATGAGAAACATATGATGTCATACTTCATTGTGTGTTGTGTTTTGATTAAAGATATTAGGATTAAACATTTTAACTACACATCTATATTGACTACTTTTTCAAAAAAAAAAATATTATATTCATTCTTGTCGTGTTTTATTTTTTTTTATGCCGTGTTCTCATATATGTATCTTGTCATGTTTGTATCTCATGCTAATGTTCGTAATTCATAGGTTCGAAACCCTATGCTAATGTTTGTTCATAGGTTTGAAACCCTTCGAAATACTTAAAGCTACTTTTACTTCATCTTTTTTAATCTTGAGTCCTCTTATAAACTTAAGAATGAGAGTGTCTTCGTAGAAAAATTCCTTTGATGTTCTTGCACATGAAGAAAATAAACACTATGAGCATTCCAAGAAATTAGACCGGCTTTAGGTAAACCATAAAGCATGATGGCTATGATATAGAATGTTTTTCTTTTCCACATGATATGTGCCCCATCTATAGGCCTTTATCTACAAGAGTCATAAAGCCTTAATAAATTGGTAACAAATAAGAAGCAAATATGTTTAACCTGCTTTGTCGTTTAACAATAGTACTAGTCACTATAATAGTAATTCCATTATTAAGACAAAGCAAGTCTCTACTATTGTCACTTCTGTAACTGGAGTTTATCCAAGTCAAATGGATTTCTATTTCTGCTAATAGCATCTATAAATGCCAAAAATGTTCTAATAAGAAGCCGATATCATCTACCATAAAGAGATCCATTGTTTTTCCAATGAAATACATTGTTGTTCCTTCAACATTGCAGAGAAGAATCTTTGCAGTAGAGTGAATATAATGTGATATTGTTAATATTGCCTACTTAATTATCTTAGATGTAGTTTCTCATAAGCCAATTACAAAAAGTGAAACTAGAGAATGAAAGGGCTAGACCAAACCTACTCTCATGCTTCTATGGCCTCTTTACTATATATGCCCGAAGTTTGTATTACATTTACTCTTTAATTAGTTTAAATGTAATGAAGATAATGAGATATTTATTCTTAATTAAGATTTCATTTATATAGAAGCTTACATCAAAAATTTTATTATTCTTGATAGAGCATGTTTGACCATAAATAAAGGTAAAGACTAACAATCACAAAACTGACAAAAAAAGGAACATTTTTTTCAAATTAAAATCTGAAGCTCACAAAAGAAACAATAGCAATTTAAAAGGACTGCAGTAGCCTACCCATGTCACCAAGTTCTGCTCTGCTGCGGTTTTAGAACTGTCAAAAGCCTTCCGTCCAGTTATCAGCTCCAAAACAAGCACGCCAAAGCTATATATGTCAGATTTCATGGTTAACTTACCACTCATAGCATAATCTGGGGCACAGTAGCCATAAGTGCCCATCACTCTTGTTGAAACATGCGTATTGTCACCAACAGGCCCGATTTTGGCCAAACCAAAATCAGAGAGTTTTGGGTTAAAATCATCATCCAACAAGACATTAGCAGCTTTCATGTCTCGGTATATAACAGGTGGATTTGCAACATCATGAAGATAAGCCAGCCCGTGTGCAGAACCAAGAGCTATCTTTATTCGAGTATTCCAGTCAAGTAGGGCTACAGCAGGTCTACCTGCAACAAAAAAGGACTAATAAAACTTTGTCAACGCTGCAAGCAGACTAAGAAATGAAATATTGAAGATGTAACAGGGAAAAGGAAAAGTAAAACAGAGAAAATATTATTCAATCTCTAGTCACAAACAAACACACAACCCAGTATAAAGAAGTACATAAGTTTATAAAAACATAACTGAATAAATACAACGACGGAGATAAACAGAGAATTCATATTATATTATTTATTATCCAACCTTAAGCTGCCAATTCGATTGCAAAGAGTTAGTTTACCCCCAAGCATGTAGATTAGCGATGTAGGTAAGACTTTGGTAAATATATCTACTGGTTGATCATCTATAGGAACATAAGTGAGAACCAATTCCCTTGACTGTATATGCTCTCTTATGATATGGTAATCAATTTCGATGTGCTTTGGACAAGCATGAAAAACAAGATTATGTGCGATAGACATAGAAGATATGTTATCACAGTGTATAACCGTAGGTTGCCCAATAGATATAGGGAAATCCTAAAGAAGTCATCGTAGCCATATAACATCAGTTGTTGTCAAGGCAAGCGCTCGATATTAGAGCGGGCCAGTGTAGGTTGCTTTTTGACATACCAAGTGAGAGGATTAGGACCAATGAATGAACAATACCAGGTAATAGATCTCCTATTACTTGAATCGCTAGCCCAACTTGAATCAGAGTAAGTGTGAAGAGTGAGAGGTTCTGATTGTAATGACAATCCAAAATTCAGAGTTCCTTGAATATATATCAAAGTCTTTTGAGATTCTAATAATGGATGTTGAGAGGTTGTCGGCACTAAAAAAGAAAGAAAGAAAGGTTGTTTGGGGGGGTC